ACTTCTTCCAAATACAAAAAGTTCATAAAGACCGGACGATAATTGCGACCTGAATATAATATCACCAACATGAAGTGTTATACGGGAAAAACATTGTACAAAATGTACAATTCAAATAGAAACAACTAAAAAAGTATTGGCCATTTGTGGGGAGGTACCAAAGGAGTGGACCGATCTTGCCTCTCTTAACACCAGACCTTGGGTTTACATAAATATTGGATTTGTGTGAAATTTGAAGACAATCGGACTCTTACATCACATTTTATGAGAGTTGTAATTATTCAAAATTTTGACCATTTGTGTGGGAGGTACTTGATGGAGTGGACCGATATTGTCCATTTTCACACCTGACACTGACGCAAATATTTGGATATGCAAAGCAAATTTGGGTTATTTTTTTCACTTTTTGTGCAAAAAATATATTTTTTGAAAATTTTGACCTTTAGTGGGGGAGGTACCAGAAGCAGTGGACTAATATTGCACATCTGCGAACGCGATCTAAGTTTGACTAAAATATTACGATGTACCGTTTGGACCAAATCGGTTACTCCCTTCGAGAGTTATCGTTCCCACCAGCCAGATAGACAGACGGACATCGCTAGATCGACTCCAAATGTTCTAAAACCGTTTTTCGACTAGGCACGTTTTGACCGTATCAAATTGTATATACCCTCTATGGCTGAGGGTATAATTAGGTATGACATGACAATAGAACTATTGCATTGTGCAAATCGCGTTGTAGCGTCAAATATCTTCAATGGTTGCAACTGAACGCTAAATAGTTCAAAGAATTTTACAATGTGAGTTTTCATTTATTTATTTTTTCACATTCAAGTCTAATGTTACAATGCAACAACTAGTTTCTTTAATTGTTAATTCTGCGAAATGCATTTAATGTTAACAGAGTGAATATTCTTTCTAGATGTATGTACATGGGCAGTGCATTATATACTATTCTGTTAGCGACAGTAATAATAACATTGTGAGATTTTTGAAATGAAAATAGAGTAAGTGTACCAGTAGTCGGCAGTTTTAGGATATTCGATTTTTCAATCTTTCAACATTCTGAGTGAAAGCTTTCAATTGCTAAAAAATAAAGTTGTTCAGATTCCAAATTTTGTTTACTTTTCGAAATAGTAAACAAAAATTGAATTTGTTTTTTATTAAATTGTCAAAATTTGCAATTTTACTAAAAAAGTACTTTTTTGCCAGTAGTCGGCACCATTTTCCAATGCTCGGCATGTCTATTTGCCAGTAGTCGGCATATGGTATTTCAGTAAAAAAAATATTATTTTGTATATTTTTTTTATTTTAAATATTAAAAAACAATGTTATATTAATAATTCACAGTTTAATCCAGAATTTGAAATTAATTTCGTTTTTAAATAGTCTTTTATTTAATTATCATTACCTTCAGTAACGTATGGACTTTCATTTAAAATAAAAATGTGATTAAATAAAAAAAGGAAAAAGTACCTTTCTTATATTTGGAATTTGTGAATTGATCTTTTTCGTTTAGATAGCCAACATTTTTTTAAATGCCACCGCAATCTAAAACCTCCAATGGCTGATTTAAAAAACCTACTTAATTTAGAAAAGTTGGTCGAAAAGCACAAATAAAAACAGCTGCCGACTATTGGCAAATTTCTTTTTTTCTGTTCCTAATGTCGGCATTAAATAATATAACAGAAAAAAGCTTGATTTGCATGTTTTTAAGTTATAAAATGATCTTTAGATTGTTATTTACTATTGTAAAATATTTCTGATTCCAAAAGTATTAAATTTAATTTTCTTAAATCGATTATTAATTTGACGCCACCACTAATTTTTTCTTTAAAAACAAGCACTATAACACGCGTTGGTAGACACTCACTGATGAAAACCGTTATTCTTTCGTAATAAATGATCGGAGCTCATTTTTTTTTTTTAAGAAAGAGAGCAGAGAACACTGTTGGCGTTTTTTGCAATTATTTCATTATTTGGTCAATTTTATTCTTGGTTATTAAAGTTTAAATTTAAAAACTGCCGACTACTGGGAAATGCCGAACTTATGCACACTTACCCAATGACAATAGAAAACATTTGCAAACTTATTTAAGTACTACTTGACCTAGTCCGTGTTGGTGGCCTGCCGTTTTAATATACCCTCCACCATACATTAAAGGGTATATTAAATTTGTCATTCCGTCTGCAACACCTCGAAACATTCTCTACAGGTCCACTAATTGGTATAGCGCTAATTAAGGTTATTGTCATAATTTAATTTCCAACCAAATTAATTAAAACCAAATTTAATAATAATAACACGTTCGATTCAGGTCCATTAATTGGTATGCTCCCCATAAAACGGTACCTCCAGATTTTCGGTATTTTGAATGTTTCTGCCTCAATTTAAAATTAGAGGATAATATAGGTTTCGCTATTTATTTTAGTTTGTCTTTCAAATTAAAACTAAGTTAACATATTTTACTTTTTTATACCCTCCGCCATACATAGTATGGAGAGTATATACGGATCGTTATTCCGTTTGTAACTCATCGAAATAATAATTTTAGACCCAACAAAGTATATATATTCTTGAACAGCGTAAAATTCTAGACCTGTCCGTCCGTCCGTCTATACGTCTGTTGTAATCACGCTACAGTCAAAACGAATTAGGATGGGAAGCTAAAATTTTGCACATATCTGTCTTTTGTCTGCAGGCGGGTCAAGCTCGAAGATGGACTATATCGGTCCACTATATCGTATAGCCCCCATCTAACAGTAGCCCCCATTTTCGGTATTTTGATGATTTTAGCCACATTTTTCCATGGAATTGTCTGAAATTCCACACAAGGACTCCCTTGTGAGTACTTTACTCCCTTAAAGATAATTGTCTATATAGGTCCACGATATCGTATATCTCCTATATAACGGTACCCCCCGATATTCGGTATTTTCATAATTTTAGCCATATTTTTCAATGAAATTTTCTTAAATTCCACACGAGGAGTTCATTTTGAGCACCTTATCCCTTGGAAGAGAATTATCATAGGTCTACGATATCGTATAGCCCCCATATAACGGTATCCCCCGATATTCGGTATTTTTATGATTTTAGCCATATTTTCCAACGGAATTATCTGAAAATCCACACAAGGAGTTCGTTGTACTTTACTCCCAGACATAGATTTGTCTATATAGGTCCAGAATATCGTATATTCCACCATTTTTTTTCCAAAAATTTTAATGGGTTTTATTTATTTGATTATTTAATTTTTTTTCTGAAGATTTTCTAATTCATTTCAAATGATGGACGGCCGAACTTACTGCTTTTTTACTTGTTCATTATTAATTTTACTTTGATAAGAAATTGGCGGAGAGTATAAAAAGGTCGCCTCGGCTGAACTTATAGCCCTAATTACATATTCTGTTCTGTCCCAACCATACGGCTAGAAGGGTATATATCATTTTATACGGACGAAACGTGCCTCATCGAAGAAGTGGTTTTAGACCTTAGGTCTCTTTGGACCACATCCGTTTCAGGACTTTAAGAGTCGATCTATGGGTGTCAATCCATCCGTCTAGCTGGCTGGGTGGTGTGTATGATAACTCTCAAAGACAATTTCCGAACTTGGTACATCGTAATATTATTGACCAGCTTATATCGAGTTCGGAGATGGGCTACATCGGTCAATCCTTCTGGCATCTACCCCACAAATCGTCAAAATTTTCAAAGAAAATAAGTTTCCGTACGAAAAAAAGCAAGGGTCATCCGAAATTTGGAACGATTACAGAGTGAGCTAAAAAAACTGCAACCAATTTCAGAATGCTATCATTTCTAAGTCACTCGTCATGTATCTTAATATTTATGTTAACCATAGATCTAATGTATATTTCGGCTCACTCCTTCTAATTAAACTTTTGACTAACAATTATTCCCACAGAATTATATATAAATGTACGATTTTATTTAAATTCCATAATGAACATCCCAACATTTTTTTTCACTAGTACATTGCGCCTATCAAAACATTCTCCATAAAGTATCAAGTATCTCATATAAAATATATGAAGTAGTCGATATAGGCCAATTCTAGCACCTTGTAATATTTATATCTCAATTAGGTCAGTTACAATATTTGCCAAACCTTTCGGATCATTCAAAAGCTTGAAAAATCATAACGCAAGTCTATGCCTATGTAAACAAGCAGACATTCGTTGAGGGTATACCTCTGTCGGCAAAAGCGACTGGTACTTTTTAACTTGTTTCGCATTACCATAGATGTTCCCTCCGGACCCATCGCTTTGGACGACTTTTAGTTTTGGGTGACATACCCAACATTCCCCCTCAACCTTTTTGGCATTGCCTCTTTAGACGATGTACATTTTTTTGGGCCGAACTTCTAATATCCTCCACCTTAGGGTAATGGAAACATTAGAACCACTTATGACCCACAAATACCAATTTTTAGACATATTCTTGGGAAAATGTGGCAAAAATCATTAAAATACAAAATATCGGGAGGTACCTCTATATAGGCCTATACAAAACCGTAGACCTATACATACAATATTTCGCCAACGGAGCTAGAACTCATTTTTAGACAAATCCGTGATAAAATGAGACAAAAACCATCAAAATACCGAATATCGGAAGATACCGTTATATGGGGGCTATACCAAAGCGTGGACTGATATATCTCATTTTCAATACCAACCATCCTAGACAGAATACAAATTATTCTGCTAAATTTTGACGCTTTACGTGAAAAAATGTGGGATGTATCGTGATTTCAACAGAGAGACGGATTGACAGACGGACATCGTTGAATCGTCTTAGAATTTTATGCTGATTATGAATATATATACATTATGGGGTCTACGACGAATATTTAGGGATGTTACAAACGGAATGACAAAAAGTTAATATGCTCTCCTTTCCAAGGTGGAGGGTATAAAAATATAACGTTTCCTGTACAATGACAAAATAAAAAAAGTTTTTTTTTTATAAAATATTTTATTTCGTATCGATCTATTTTTTTTTTTAATAATAATAATTCGGAAAAATTTATATTTACTTTGCTAATTATCATTTTTATGCCAAAAAAGTATTCCATGAACCGGTCCACGCTCACAGCCAAATGCTCGCGAAAAATCTCCGATATGATTCACAGCGAAATTGACAATTTTCCGATTCATTGTGCTCTGCGACGGTCGATGGTAGCTGGCATCCACTGTACCGCAATACATTTGTGCAAAGTTGAGGAAAAATGATTTCAACAAATTCGCATCGTACTGATCTTCCCTGAATGCCTGATAGGCCAAACGCAGGCCATTGATGGCACTGTCAACTTCTTCGGTTTCGCCACGATGATTTTGCGCTATGTGTTCGTAATCCACTCGGAAATCCCAATTTTCAACGAGCATATCGAGAACATAGGAGAACACCTGACCATAGGCGCTGACATCAATGTCGGCAATGGTAAATTCGTACATTATTTGACGGCCCATCAGATAGCCTATGGAACTGTAGATGTATGCCGATGGTAATTCGGGCCGATAGAACGGATGTTGGAGGATGGCAAGTGGCACCAGGACGGCACGTTGTCTTGGCAAAATGTAGGGTAGCAGGGAATTTGCTGTGTCATACTGTTCCAGTGGCAGGAATTCCAAGGCATTACGCCTGAGACGCTGGTTCAGATGATGATGTGTGGCCTGGAAATTAAAGTTGTAGATTCTCAAACGATTGCCATAGTAGTCCTCGGGATTGAGGCTTAAGCTGCGGTACAACTCTTCCAGGCTATGCGAGGAGAGATAGCCCACTCTCAGCTGCAGCGTGCGCAACTTGGCCCTAAAGAATTTCATCATGGACTGATCCAGATTGTAGACATTGCGATTGAGCACTCTCAGAAATGTCTGCTTGAGTTTGGTGAACATTCTGCTGACCACATCTATTTCAGTTTCCAGTTCAGGATGATTCTGATCGAACAGCCACTGGGTGGGCAGGGGAAACAGCAATCGGGTGCTGGCTACACAATCTCGGTATTCGTTTTTAAATTGTTTATAGTTGAGATAGCTAAGGAATTTCATTTGCAGGTATTCACAAACAAAGCGGGCCTCGTAGGTCTGTAGAAAATCCACAACCGCCCTAAGGTAGGCAATGTTTGTTACCACCACTTCCATTGTGGGATCCAGATTGTCATTGTCCAAAAGAACGCTAATGTATTGCAGCAACCATGGCTGATCACTCAAACCGCTGATGGTGGCGAACAGAATCTGTTCATCGGATTCATATTTGGTTTTCAACACCAAAAGTTTATTATCCAAATCTTGGACATCACTCCAGAGGGTGTGATATTCTCGTTCGGGCATGAGAAATCTTATGGTTCCAGTTATTACATCATAACGCAGCGTGTTCATTTTGTGGTTACCCAAATCCTGAGGTGATCCCAATTCCAGAATCAATATATTGGGATTTGTATCCTTCGGGACGGCCGATTCATGGATGATGACATCGTTCAGGCCATATTTTCGTAGTATGGCCAACATACGTATCCAATCATATTGCTGTGAGGGATAATACCCCTGACTTCCTTGGCTTATACTTATGGGCCATTGCAGGTCGTGTTCATGGGTTTCTAACCACTTTAAATAATCCACAGTGGCTGGTGCCTCGGTGCTCAAACAAGATTTGTAATAATTCGAAACTTCTTGGGCGAATTTCCTTTGGCTGATTTGGGTGACATTTTGCAGAATTTGTTTCATCTCCATGTTGATTTCAAAATCTAGTCTTGTCAGGGTCTCTTGATAAGTTCTTCCCCCTTCCGGATTCCAATTGCCACAGGCATAACCATAGAAATCGTCACAGGGTGAAATATTCCTATCCATAGATAACAGATAAAGGCGTTCCTGGACATCATCCCGCAAATCGAATTGATGATAATCGTCCGAACGGGAGGAGCGTCCAGATGGCGGTGGGTGTGATGAATTGGTTTGTGCGAAACCAATAACAACAATAAACCACAGCAGTATTGCAATGATGGGTATTTTTATTTTCTTCATTTTTTTGATTTGTTTTTTTTTAGAACTTCCGAATCCGATCACACTCTGCTATCAATCGTGGCGAAATATCAACTGAACTAGCCATTACTGCATCCGCATCTGCCACCGTACCGTAAACGCAATTTCTTATCGCAAATATTTTTCTTTTGAATATAGACATTTTTAGGTGTCATTATTTAAATTCGCCTGAAATTTTTTCCGCTATAGTTTCGTCTAATCTCTATAACCTTAAGTTTTATTATTATTATTATTATTACTTTTTTTGTTTTTTTTTTTTTTTTTTTTTTTTTGCAAACTGTGAGTGCCGTAATTTTCAAGCAAAGCAACAATTCTACGTGCTCGTAAACTCAATGACAAAACAAAATTCGAAATTCTCAGAGGTCTTCATAATCTCCTAAGTGCGTATTTCGTGACATCTAATCTGATGTTTTGAGAATATACTATTTTAAAAATGCATTGAGGTTAAATCAGATCAATTACCCTATTCGACATGGCTTTGTATATCCTCAGCCATATGGCTATAGAGGGAGGGTACATATCATTTGATACGGCCAAATCGTGCCTCATCGAAATAACGGTTTTATATCCTAAGTCTCTTTGCACCAAATTCGTTTGAGGACATTTAGAGTCGATCTAGGGGTTGAACTCCGTATGTCTGTCGTAGACCCCATAATGTATATATATTCATAATCAGCATAAAATTCTAAGTCGATTTAACGATGTCCGTCTGTCTGTCTGTCTGTCTATTGAAATCACGATACAGTCCACATTATTTGACGTAGAGCGCCAAAATGTAGCAGAGCAATTTGTATTGTGTTTAGGATGATTGGTATTGAAAATGAGATGTATCGGTCCACGTTTTGATATAGTCCCAATATAACGATACATCCCGATATTCGGTATTTTGATTATTTTTGCCACACTTTTTCACGGATTTGTTTGAAAATTGGCATTTGTAAGTCATAATGGGTCCTAGTTCGTGCGGCGAAACATTGTATGTATAGGTTCACGCTTTGGTATAGCCCCCATATAACGGTACCTCCCGATATTCGGTATTTTGATTATTTTTGTTAAATTTTTTCACGGATTTCTCTAAAAATTGATATTTGTTGGTCATAATGGGTTCCAGCTCCAGTGGCGAAACATTGCATGTATGGGTCCGATATTCGGTAATTTGATGGTTTTGGCCACATTTTTTTCTCTGAATTGTCTAAAAATTGGTATTTGTAGGTCATAATGAGTGCTAGTTCGTGTGGCGAAACATTGTATGTATAGGTCCACGTTTTGATATAGTCCCCATATAACGGTTCCTCCCGATATTCGGTATTTTGATGATTTTTGACACATTTTTTTAAGAATTTCTCTGAAAAATAATATTTTTAGGTCATAATGGGTCCCAGTTCGTGTGGCAAATCTTTGTAATTATAGGTCCACGATTTGCTATAGCCCCCATATAACGGTATCTCCCGATATTCGGCATTTTAATGGTTTTTGCCACATTTCTTCGCGGATTTGTCTAGAAATTGGTATTTGTTGGTCTTAATAGGTTCTAGCTCTTTTGGCGAAAAACTGTATGTTCGGTCCACGTTTTTGTATAGCCCATATAGCCGTATTTCCCGATATTCGGTATTTTGATGATTTTCGGAACATTTTCCCATGAATATGTCTTAAAATTGGTATATGTGGGTCAAATGGGCTCTAATGTTTCCTTTATCCTAAGGTGGAGGGTATTAAAAGTTTGGCCCGGCCGAACTTAATGTTTTTTTTTTTTTTTTTTTACTTGTTCAAAATCTTGAATCCTATGTGGGGGAGTTACCCAGATCGGACAAATGGTCCGATCTCTACCGTCTTTATAACAGATCTTATTGTGATGGAAATAAAAAGTCTGAATGGAATCGGATTTTAATTTCGAGTATTACGAGCCTCATGAATATTAAAAATTTTGAACCTTTGTGTGTGGGGAGGTACTAGTAGGAATGGTCCGGTCTCTACCATCAAGAGATCTTGTGTTAATGAAAATATTGAGATGTTTCAAGTCTGAATGGAAGTGGATGCTTTTTATGAGCTTCGAGTATATTCAAAATTTTTACCAGAAGGTACCACAAAGAAAGTACCGATATACAGGGTGAGATGAAAAAACTGCAACAAAGTCAAACGCCATAATTGTTACATTTTTTTTTTTATTTTTTTTTTTTGAATGAAAGCAAAAAGTTTAGATTTGTTCGAATTAGTCACCTTTGGTACGAATTATGGCCTTCAAACGACCAATGAAACCGTCATACTTTACCCGAATGTTGCTCTGCGGTATTTTGACTCATTCCCGGAGAAGCGCTTGCTTGGGGTATTGTTTGCTGTGGTATTGTTTAGTGCCAGCCTTGCTTTCCAAAATACTCCAGACACAATAGCATGGTACTTGGTATGCGGAGATTACGTGGCGTGAGTGCTGAGTACCGTTGGAATGTCCAAGGTCTGCGGCCAAAACGTTTGCATGCCCAAGGCTTTAATACACCCTCCAGAATATTTTCGCGATAATATTCGGCATTTATTCTGATGCCACGGTCGATTAATACGAGCGGATAGCGACCATCGGCTGTTATGGCGCTGTTTTCTTCCGCCCACTTCCTTGACGTCGGGCTACGCTACCAGTATCATGGTAACGAGCGATGGTACGAGACACCAAAGATTTATTCACATTCAAATGCTGGAGTGCTTCGAGCCAAATTTAAAGAAGTCACACTATCACGCTTGAATCCCATCACGAATAACTTTTTTCTGGAAAATTCTCACTCACAGTGCTTTTACACGCTTGAAAAAAATATAAAGAGCTGTCACTGGAATAATTTTGAACAGCTGTCGGACGAGTGGCTTAGAAATGACAACAGTCTGAAATTGGTTGCAGTTTTTTCATCCCACCTTGTAAAGTAAAAATGTTACATTGCTTACAAACCTGGCGCGTCATATATTTTTATCATATTTATTTAGGACTATTTAGGACCATTACTTCAGAACCCGCTGTATAGAGCGTCAACAATTTGAATAATCACAACAGAAGTCAAAATATTTTTAAATAATCGAGCATTGACTGAGGGTATAAATCTGTTTGCAAAACTGATTTATACATTTTAACTTGTTTTTACATGACTTTCTACCATTTTGACAAAAAAAAAAACAATGCTTAATTACTATTAAGAGTTTATTTAAAATTAATATTCATATTTGGACATATAATTTTAAGTCGCATATTTTCCTTAATAATATTTGCATCACTTCAAATCTCTCCTGAGAGAATAGGTAGTCATATTCCAAAAAAAAAAAACATTTATTTCGTAGAAAAAAAAAAAACATAAACAACTCAGAGAATATAAGACATAAAATTTCTTATCATTTTATTATTAAATTCAAAATATAGACCTTACAAACACCCTGCTACTTGAAATCAGACTCAAACATGCGCTTTGCTCAAGTTAATAAGAAAATTCTCTTTCTTAAAATATATGTCAAACGAGCTTGTACGCTGTTCAGTTATAGGGCATTAATAAATACTTGATGGCTGTCTGCGCCACGCCTGTATCAACTGGGTGCTTCTGCTTTTCACTGATAAGACAACAAATGCTATTTTTTAATTTAAATTATTTTGAGCTTTGTTAGAGCAATGTTCACGAGCAGCTAAGTCGGTGAAATGAAGAAAATTTTCAAATTGTTAATATTGTTATTTGTCCTCGCTCAAATCGATGCATTGGCACGCCAACCTATCCTAAAGGAATCCGATTGGGAACTTTTTGCCCAGCGTGCAATGACCACCCGACGACCAAATCGCTTCAGATCGAATCCCAGGACGGAGAAACCTTTTATACATATAAATGAGCTTATAGTCGTTGTGGATCATAACCCGGATCAACATATGCGCACCACTCGAAACTGCAAATGTGTTATAAATGGCCGCTGTGCCAACTACCACAGAAGGTGTTGAAAGGAAGGATACTGAAAGTGTTTTGAAATAAGAAGTAAATGTGAATGAATGCAATTTTAGTAAAAAAACACACAATATTTTTGTAAGAATTTCAAGTGCAGTTTGTTTTCAATAAAGTGAATGTTATTAATATATACCGTTATATAGGAGCTATACAAAGACCTTGACCTGCATAGACAATTTTCAGTCACTGGCTGTAGCTTCCATTACGAACTTAAAATACGACATCTCAAACAATTTCGGTGAATATTGTACCTAAAATCGTAAAAATACCGAATATAAGGAGGTACTGATATATTGGGCCTATACGAAGACCTGGACCTGCATAGGCAATTTTCTGTCACAGACTTAAGTTCACATTACGAACTCTAAATACGTAATTTGAAACCACTACGGTGAATAATGACGCTAAAATCATCAAAATACCGAATATTGGGAGGTACCGTTATATGGAGGCTATACGAAGACGTAGACCTTCAAAGATAATTTTCCGCCTTAGGCTGCAGAATCCATTTCGAACTTCAAGCACCAAATTTGAAACAATTCCGGTGAATAATGTCGCTAAAATCATCAAAATACCGTACATAGGGAGGTGCCGTTATATATGAGCCATACGAAGACCTTGACCGGCATAGACAATTTTCTGTCGTAGGCTGTAGCATCTATTACGAACTTCAAATACGACATATCAAACAATTTCGGTGGATATTGTACCTAAACTCGTCAAAATACCGAATATAGGGAGGTATTGATATATGGGGCCTATACGAAGACCTTGACCTGCAAGACAATTTTCTGTCGTAGGCTGTAGCATCTATTACGAACTTCAAATACTAAATTGGAAACAATTCCGGTTAACAATGTCGCTAAGATCATCAAAATACCGAATATTAGGAGGTATCGTTATATGGGGGCTATGCGAAGACGTGGACCTGCACAGACAATTTTCTGTTTTAGGCTGTAGTATCCATTACGAACTACAAATACCAAATTTGAAACAATTCCGGAGAATAATGTCGCTAAAATCATCAAAATACCGAATATTGGGAGGTACCGTTATATGGGGCTATATGAAAACGTGGATCCACATGACCCATTTACGAACTTAACCTGC